TTTCGCACGCGCTCGACGGTTAAAGTATTGAAAAGTACCTTAACCACTTGTGTGTGTTGTTTGAGGCGTTCGCGGTTCGGTGTTGTTAATCCCTGGTGTGGACGATTCTTTTCGCGGTATCCGCGGCGCGCGCGGGATATGGCGGGATATGGCGGGATATGGCGGGATACCGGGAGATACGGGGAGATACCGGGAGATACCGGGAGATACGAGATACGGGGAGATGCGGGGAGATACGGGGAGATACGGGGAGATACGGGGAGATACGGGGAGATACGGGGAGATACGGGGAGATGCGAGGAGATGCAAGGAGATACGGGGAGATACGGGGAGATAGAGGGAGATAGAGGGAGATACCGCAAAAGAATCGTCCGCACTAGGGCTGTTGTACGGTGACGGGTGTGACCGCAGTCCGCAGAGTCTGGGGCAGAGGGACCGCGGTCACGCGATGACACGAAGTAGAGCCACAAGATAGACGATCCAACAACCCCAACTTCACACGCCCCCGCGCCTCAGTGTAACACCGTATCCCCCCCCTCACACACCTATCAACCTTGCAGCAGCTCAAGCGAGCCGTCCCGGTGCGGCAAAATTGATGCGGCCTGCAGGGACCGAAAGGTCGCCGACCTGATCACGGCTGCCGGCGTCTCGGCGCCGGCCGACGCCGTGTTCGGCGGCAGGTTCGCGACGGGCGAGACGCCCCGCTCGACGACCTCCGCCTCCGAGGCGGACGAGGGCGACGGCGTCGGCGGCGATGGCGGGACCAACATGCACTTCGACCTGTTCGAGCCGGACCGCACCCCCATGGAGGACCTCTGAGGCCCTCCCCAGTCTCACCCCACCTTACCTCTGCCCCCCCCTCCCCCCCTCCCTCTGCCTCCCATAGGGCAGGATAGCACTCGCATGTGCGCACTGGGCCCACACAGATGTGACCCGCCCACTCGAGTGCGGCGCCCGGATGCTAGTGCTTGAGAAGACACCACAAACGCGGCACGGCCCGTTTTGGCTGTCTGCGGAGAATCTGTCTTAGCACACACAGCTCACGGCTCACCTCCACGTGCACCCCACCGGGCAGTGCTTGCACTTTCGGAATGCCGTGGGGCTCCTCTACCCGTGTCCGGCCGGGGTCGGGTGTGGAGATGCGAGGCCGTCGGCGAGGGTCGCCCCCTCTTGCCCCACCACCTTGTGTGTGTGGAGAAATTTACCCTACCTTACCTTAAGCTGGACATTGTTGCCGAAAGAATCAGAGCACAACACACATGACTGTACGGCTTTACAACCCCCCCCCCCCCCGCGCTATGGGGCTACAGTATGGCGCGAAGCTCGATCCGAGACGGCGGGAGCATGCTTGCTACAGCGCGTGCTTCGTCACCTCATCTCGGACCCACTTCCGAAACCGCGCAGCATGGCCCACCTTCTTCCCGAAAACCTGCAGAGCAAGCTGAGAGAGGTGGTCGTCGCTCATCTCAGCGAAACGGCGCGGATCGGCAAAGCCGTGCTCTCGGAATGCCGTCTCGTAGCCGAACGTGTGGAGCCGCATCTCCTGGAGCACCACAAGTAGCTGCTGGTGCTGTTGGCCCTCCACCGCGGAAGCCTCCTCGTCTTCTTCCTCCTCCAGCGGCGCTGCCGAGACCGCCGCCGCCGCCGCCGCCGCTGCCGCCGCCGCCGACACTGCCGCCGCTGCCGCTACCGCCGCAATCGCCGCCCCCTGGCCTCTCTGCGCCGCCTCCTTGTCAGGCGGTGGTGTGGACCGCGGCGGCCTCCCCTCTTCGCACTCCTCTTCGTCGGCCTTCGTCTCGTCGCCCTCGCCGTCGCGACCGCCCGCAGCTCCGCCGACGGTCTCCGTCTCCTCGACATCCTGCCTACCTAGCGCCCGCACGCGCTTGATGGGCTTGCTGGTCTCGACCTCGCCGCCGTCGTACGCGACGTCCACCCACTGGCAGACGTCATTCCGGTGGACGGCCTGCACTGTCGCCGGGAACCAGAGCTCGTCGGCACCGGAGCCGAACTGCGCGAGGACGCGCGCCCCCGGCTCGCAGCGCCGCGTCGAAGACCAGAGCGCCGTGTGCCGCCCCGCCTGGTCAGTGTGCACTCCGCCCAGCTCCGACCGCGCTGGACGCGGCAGCCCGTCCGCTCGGTGCGCGCGGCTCGAGCGGCGGAGCCCCTCCGTGCTGGGCGCCGGCTCATCGGAGGGGGTCACGTCGGCGGGCACATCCTCCTCGCCCGCCTCAAGCGCGTCGGCCGGGGCGTCGCAGCCCTCCTCCTCGTGCACGAAGACGCAGAGGAACTGGTCGCTCGGCGCGGGCTCCTCCCGCACGCGACGCCACGCGCCGCAAAAGTCGCATTCCGCCCAGCAGCGCGAGAGCTGCGCCGGCCTCAGCAGCAGCCCGAAGTGAGCCGCAACCTCGGAGACAGAGCCAAACTCGCGCCCGTCGGGCGAGCGGAAGGTCGCGCTCGACGGAGCGAGCCGCAGCCCGAGGCAGCGGCGGTTGACGCAGCACTGCTTGGCGGTGCCGGGGCCGCCGTACTTGGTCATATCGCGGCACGCGGAGCACGCTCCGCAGTCGGGAGCCCTGCACGCGGCGCACTCCCGGCAGCGCTGGCGCCGAGCTGCAGCCCTGCAAAGCGCTGCGGCGCCCGCCGCTGACACACCGCAGGCGCCGCCCGCTCCGCTCGACTCGACGCCGCCCGCCGCGTCGGCGCCTCCGCCGCCGCCAGACAAGCTTGCGACTTCGGCCAGCTCTCGCCCCGCCAGGCCGTGCCGGTTCTCGCGGCCGCCCCGCCAGGCCTGCGGCACGGACTCCGCGTATTCGCCGTTGGGGCCGTAGAAGACGCGGTAGGTCCTCGCCGACCCCTGCCGCTCCTGCGCCACCCACCCCGGAGGCAAGGACTGGCACCGCACGCCCACGACCTGTCCGCCCTGCTCTGCGGCCTTGCCCTGCCCGCCTGCCCGCCCGCACCCCAGCGCACCGTCCCGTGCGCCCGCCCCCTCGCCCGCCCCCTCGCCCGCCCCCTCGCCCGCCGACGGCCCACCCGTCTCCTGCCCGCGCGCTTCCCGCCCGCCCGCCTCCTGCCCAACTGCAGCCTGTCCGCCTGCAGCCTGTCCGCCTGCGGCCTGTCCGCCTGCAGCCTGTCCGCCTGCGGCCAGCCTCGTCGACACCTCGGCTGTCCACCCCGAAAGCAGCTCGTCGGCGTCTCCTCCGCGCTTCTCGACGTAGGAGCGGAGCCCGACCATGGCCTCCTCCTGGCAAACGACGGCGCGCAGCACCTCGTCGAGGACCAGCCGGACCTAGAGACGAGTCCCCGCCGTCGCCAGGACAGGCGCCAGGGCGCGTCGTCGGTCCGATTGGAGCGGCCCGGCCTCTTTCTCCTCGCCGCTGGCCGACTTCTTCTTCTTGAGCGGCGTCTGGAACTCGCCCATCTCCTGCTCGCCCTCGTCAAGAGGGCTCTGCGGCCGCGCGCACGCCGACTCGGCGCCCGCCGCGCCCTCCTCGTGCCCCGCCCTCGAGTCTTCCCGCGAGCAATACCACGGAGCGTCGTCCTGCAGCGCCGCCTGCGCCTCGGGCGTGAGGCGGCGCCACTTTCCGCACGCGTCGCACTGCACCCACGGGCTCTGCCGGGGCACGGGGGCGGCGGTGAGGGAGGGCGGCGGCGGTGAGGCGGCGGTGAGGGAGGTTGGCGGCGGGGGCGGGTGAGCAGAGCGGGCAGACCTTGGAGGCAGCGTGCCAGGGAAGGGGGGTGAGAGGCAGTGCCGTGGAGTGGAGTGGAGTGGAGTGGGAGGGGGAGAGTGGCACGGCGCCTCCTCGAAGCTTCCAGCGGCGCGCTTCCGCTTCGGAGGCGCCTCCAGGCCGAGCGCGCGCAGCACGTCGGGGCGCGAGGAGAACACCTTGGCTCCAAAGAGCTGAGGGTGCTGGAAGCGGACGCGCCATCGCCGCCCGCGATCGCTGGTCTGGACGAGGGAAGCCTTGCAAGTCCAGCCGCTACGCTGCTCGGCGGCGGCGCCAGAGTGCGCGAGGTAGTCCGCGAGGTCTCCGATCGACCGCGCCCGCACCGCCTGCACCTCCGCCTCCGCCGGCGCCTGCGCCCCTGTCACCGCATCCAATGCCTCCTCCGCTGGCTCTACCGGCCGATCGCGCGTCGCCTCCGCTTCGCCACTCCGCTGCCCGCCGCTTCGATGCCCGCTCTGCTGCCCCCCTTGCCGCTCACCGCTGCCGGCTGCGCGAGGGGCATGGCGAGGGGGGCGGGGCGGGGCGGCGAGTCGGGAGGTGAGTGGGGCGGTGGCGGCGGAGGTCTCCGCCCCCCCCTTCGCCGCCGCCGCCGCCGCCACCGCCTCCTCCTCAGGCTCCTCCTCCTCCTCCTCCTCAGGCGCCGCCTCCGCCGCCACATCGACCGCCCGCGCGTACGCCACCGCCGCCTCCACCGCCGTGTCGAAGAAGCCGAGGTGACAGGTCTCCCCGCCCGTATAGGTCTGCGCTCGGAAGCGGCCGGAGTTGCCCCTCTCCCCCTTTGACACGCCCTTGTAGCCGGTGCTGCTGCTGCTCGAGAGGTGCAGCCGCAAGCCCTCCGCCTCTGCCACCGGAGCCGCAGCCCCTGCCGCCTCCGCCTCCACCACCGCCGGGGCCGCAGCCTCTTCCGCCTCCGCCGCCTCATCCGCCTCAATCTCCATCTCGTCGTCGCTCGAGTCGGCCTGGCCGGCGCACTCCACCTGAGCTCGGTCACATCTGGCTTAGAGTCCCGCCCCTCGGTCACAGCCCGGACAAAGCCCTGCCATCTCAGGTAATCTCGGCTAATCTCGGCTAATCTCGGCGGTATCTCCACCTCGAGGCCGGCGGGCGTGTTATCCGGCGCATTCACTTCCACCTCGACCTACTCACAGAAGAAAGTAACGATCGTGCTCCGGCTCAAGTGGTTCAGCCCCACTCCCGCCTCCGCCTCGCTCTCGCCGCCGCTCACGGCATCAGCGGCGGCAGCCCCGCCCTCTCCGGCGACCAGATCGTCGGGAGGCAGCAACGGTGAGATCTCGGGCGCGGGCGGTAGCGGCCCCGCCGGCTCCGTCACCTCCGACTCGGTGTGGTTCTCCGCCTCGCCCGCCTCGTCCGCCTCGATCTCTGCAGCCGCTCCAGCCGCCCCTCCGTATCCCTCACTTGCCTCCTCCGCCACCGCCACCTCCGCCGCCGTCACCTTTGCCTCCGTCTGTATCGGTGGTCCCTCCCCAGTGGCTTCACTAGACGTGCCGTGGTCTGGCGCAGAGACAGAGCTTGCGCCGCTCACGAGCGGCGGTGCCTCTGTTGTAAAAAACTCTTCGCCGCCGGAGACGACGATGCAATCGCCGTCGCGAACCTACCGTTCGCACCCCACAAATGGTGAGAGAGGTATGATGGTGTGGTAGTGTACGTTGGTTGCGCGCGCACCTCCTCAAGAGCTTCGATCTCGAACCCATCAGCGGTGAAGAGCCTCGTCGCGACAAACTGGCTCGCGTCGGTGGAGAGCTTGCTTCCGCATCGCTGCAGCATGAGAGCCCAGTTGTCGGCGACCAGCGCCACCTTTCCGCCCGTAGCATGACCGTTTCGCCGGATCTTGACACGGCGCAACATGCCCTTGAGGTGAGCAGGTCCTCACGCGTTGGGGCTGTGCCTCTGATTGCTCGCGCCGAGCGCAACGACCGGCTGTTTTTCTTTGAGAGCGCCTTCGTTGTTAAAGGCCCACTCCACGCCCCCTTTCGACTTTGAGCAAGTGTCGACACTTGGCCGCCGCTGCCTCCTGAGCACCCCCACGCCGGTTGGGGCTGCTCTCCGCCCACCAGCCGGCCACAGGCCGCCACCCTGGCCGGCCGGCGTCGAGAGAACGGCCAGACTCGACCGACCGGGTGTCGCGCCGCTGCCTGCTTCTCGCGCCGCTGTAGCAGCGCCAGCGGCTCGGCCGCGCATCCTTCACACACGCCGCCACGACCAAGCTGAGCGGGCCCAGTGTCGAGGTCTGGTGCGAGCTGCATGTGAGGGGCGGCTTTGGCCACAGCAGGTCCACCAGACGGATCTCAAAGCTTGCCGTCGGCGTGCTGTCGTGGCGAGAGCCGAGACCGCTGCAGAGGAGCCGAGTGCAGTGACGATCCAGAGGCTACCAGGGCCACCAAGTGGTAGCCCTTGCCCATTCTGATCAGGGCTGTGCTTTGGTGGGGTTGTGTTTGAGCATGTGTGAAGTGGGAGTGCGTGCCGGCGGTGTCTGTGGGTGAAACGGGCGTGAGTGAGGCCGTAAGAGCCGTGGTATGAGCCAGAGTGGGCTTCATCACCCAAAATAAGGACGGTTTGGGACAGCTCAGACTTGGTACTGATGAGCCTGGGCCAGGAGGGCGACAGAGAAGGCGAGGTGGTGAGCTGGGAAGCCGCTTCATCGGCACCTGGACGTGTCGCGATGAACTGCCGAAAAGTACTATTTGCGGCTATTGCTCAAAACTTCGGGAGACAAGGCCTACATATTATGACTGAATCCTTGAGCCTGGTGCATGAGGGCTGCGGGTCGGGACATTTCACGGTCGGTGGCGCCGGTGTTGGCCTCCGGAAAGCCCTCGCAATCGCCTCGGATGGGGTCCACCGGAGACAATCTCGAGCCCTCTCCGTGGCATCACGAGCCGGTGTGAGCTTGCAGACCCAAGGTAAGTGCGGTTCGGGACAGCTCGGGCCTGCTACTGATGGGCCTGGGCCAGGAGGGCGACAGAGAAGGCGAGATGGTGAGCTGAGACGCTGGAGAGTCAGCGCCTGACTGTGTCGCGATGCAAGTGCCACGAAGCGCTATTTCATGCTCCCAGCCCACCACCTCGCCTTCTCTGTCGCCCTCCTGGCCCAGGCCCATCAGTAGCAGGCCCGAGCTGTCCCGAACCGCACTTACCTTGGGTCTGCAAGCTCACATCGGCTCGTGATGCCACGGAGAGGGCTCGAGATTGTCTCCGGTGGACCCCATCCGAGGCGATTCCGAGGGCTTTACGGAGGTCATTATCGGCGCCACCGACCGTGAAATGTCCTGTTCCACAGCCCCTATGCACAAGGTGCATGGATGCAGTCATAATATGTAGGCCTTCTCTCCCAATCTTTTGAGCACTAGCCGCAAACGGCGCTTCTTGGCACTTCATCGCGACACGTCCAGGTGCCGAAGCGGCTTCCCAGCTCACCACCTCGCCATCTCTGTCGCTCTCCTGGCCCAGGCCCATCAGTACCAAGCCTAATATGTCCCAGACCGCACTTATCTTGGGTGATGAAGCTCACTCTGGCTCATACCACGGCTCTTACGGCCTCACACACGCCTATTTCACCCACAGACACCGCCGGCACGCACTCCCACTTCACACACGCTCAAGCACAACCCCATCAAAGCACAGCCCTGCTCATAATTGACAAGGGCTACCACTTGGTGGCCCTGGTAGCCTCTGGATCGTCACTGCACTCGGCTCCTCTGCAGCGGTCTCGGCTCTCGCCACGACAGCACGCCGACGGCAAGCTTTGAGATCCGTCTGGTGGACCTGCTGTGGCCAAAGCCGCCCCTCACATGCAGCTCGCACCAGACCTCGACACTGGGCCCGCTCAGCTTGGTCGTGGCGGCGTGTGTGAAGGATGCGCGGCCGAGCCGCTGGCGCTGCTACAGCGGCGCGAGAAGCAGGCAGCGGCGCGACACCCGGTCGGTCGAGTCTGGCCGTTCTCTCGACGCCGGCCGGTGAGACTGACGGCCTGTGGCCGGCTGGTGGGCGGAGAGCAGCCAGGAGGACTCCAGAGTAGCCAGCAACATGAAGCAACGGGAGAGCGCACAGCGAGCGCAAACACAGCTCTGAGAAAGGGCGGGGAGTGGGCCTTTAAGGTGGCAGTCCGGGTTTTGCGAGACGGGTGTCGTCCCGCAAGATGGCATCACGCTCGCACCTGCCGACCGCCGCCACGGCGGCGAGACGCCTTCTCCGCCACCGCGGCGCCGGCCACAGGCCAGCGCTAGGCAGCTGCCGGCCACACTGGGCCGGATTTGCCGGTAACCGTCGCCGCACACTCCTACGTCCACGCCGCTGTGACGTCTGGCGACGAGGCGCCGGCCGCCAAGCTTCATCGCCAACGTGGTCGCTCGCTGGTCCTCTCGGCTCGGCCACGCGTCGGCCCAGCTCACACGAGCTCCAGACAGCCACCAGTCGCCACGCGCAAAGCGTACGGGTCGCCGGCTCCCTGTTGTGCTCTCACGCTGGCCGGCGTAAAACTGTGCTGGCAGTTGTCAAGCCGTACCCGTCGCGTTTCGAAAGGGAGCCCTCAATCGACGCGTCTACACGCACCGTGCCACCGCTCTCCACAACTGCTACCGTGGACATCAAGCTCCTCGACTCGATCTGCGGCTACGACGGCGCTCTAGCTGCTGGCTCTCGCGGGTGTCTGGCGACCCGCTCAGGCTTGCGAAACGGCCGGCCGCGGCGACGTGTTTCGAGCTCGCTGGCCTTCTCCGCGCGGCTGGGCCCGCCCCTAGTCGGGGCAGACCCGCCCAGTCACTGGGCAGCGCGTGCGCCGTCATCCTGGACGACGGTGTGCCGATGCATCCGGGAGGCTCCGCGGGGCTGCTATACCTATAGCAGCCTCGGGAGGGTCGAAAATCGAAGCCGGAGCGGCGGACCACGGAAGCTCCACGGACGGTGAGGCGGGCTGTGGTTGGCCCCCCCTGACCGGGTGAGGGAGTGGCGCCCCGGGAGTGCCGCTCCGGCGACGTCTGTGGCCTCCAAGGTACCGTGACCGCGGTGCTCGCTCTCGCGGCCGTCTCACGACCCGCTCGAGACGAAAACTGGAGCGGACGGTGCGACGAACCGCGAGTGGGATGGTCTTCTCCGCGCGGCTGGGCCCGCCCCTAGTCGGGGCCGACCCGCCCAGTCACTGGGCAGCGCGTGCGCCGGCGTTCTGGACGACGGTGTGCTGGTGCATCCGGGAGGCTCCGCGGGGCTGCTCTAGCAGCCTCGGGAGGGTCGAAAATCGAAGCCGAAGCGGCGGACCACGGAAGCTCCACGGACGGTGAGGCGGGCTGTGGTTGGCCCCCCCTGACCGGGTGAGGGAGTGGCGCCCCGGGAGTGCCGCTCCGGCGACGTCTGTGGCCTCCACGGTACCGTGACCGCGCCGGCCTCGCTCGGGAGGCTCTTTCGGAGCCGTCGGCCTCCGAAACCGTCGCGTTGCTGCGCCTGGACGGCTTCGATGCTCGCCAAACCCGTCGGCACCGTTCATATACACATGAATTGTGAACGAACGCGCATTTTTCTGATACTTTACTCGCATATGCCGAAATGTTAGTTTCGATCTAGTCCTCACGGACACAAAACAGAGGCCTCCTAGCACGGAGAAGCGACTAAGAGTCGCCGACGTGCGAGTAAAGTGTCAGAAAAATACGCCCGGAATCACAATTGATCCCGTCGACAAGGCGCCCCAATCGCGGAGGTCTGGCGCGGGCGTGGAGGCGAGCATCGACGCCTCGACGGTTGCTCTTCAGAGGCCGAAAACAGGCGCCTGAAAAAGGAGAGAACGCGAGACTGATCACGCGCGCGGAAAAGCCCGAGGGGCGAATCTAAAGTGCCGAGGCGCTTGCTAATCACCCCAGCTAGGGCCACGGAGGCGCTCGCGGCAGGTCTCCGCGCGCGCGCTGGCCGGTGGCAGCTGATCTCGGGCGGCGGGCGGCGGGAATGGGCTCGGGCGGCACCTTTTGCCCTCAAAAGTCGTTCGAGAGTACCGGGTCGCGGCGGGAACGCGCCCATCCGCTCGATGGGTGTCAGGAGTCGATCGCCTGCGCCACGAGCGAGCACGGGAGTCGTCGCGATGGGAGTCGTAGCGGCGTGGCGCTGGGCTTCGAGAGAGCGACGTGGGCGCGGCGGCGCGGGCGGCCGGTGGGGCGCGTGAGGTCCGCACCTTCGCGACGGGCAGGCTCGATACGGCCGCTGGCCGGGGCGGCCGCTCGACCGGCCGCCGCGGTCGTTCCGGCGGCGGCGTCGGCGTCGGCGTCGCGAGCGAACTGGCTCGCATTCGACGAGCGACCCTCTTCACAGAACCCGGACTGCCACCTTAATAGTACAAACCCAATGGTCCTCTGCGAGCGGTCCTTCGTTGCAGTCGCACACACGCACACGCCACGCCGCACCGCGCGCCCGCCCACCGCCCCGCCCAGGCGGGAAAGAGATGGGGAGATGGGACAGCAAAGGAGGAGCACGAGCACGTATGGGAGGGTTCAGTAATGCGTCACGCTGCCCGGCGTTTCTCACTTTCCGGGACAGCCCCGCCCTTTCGCCTTTCGGTTTCCGCGCAAACGAACAAGGTACACCACGGGAGCCGCCTAAGCTGTCCAGAGAGTCTCTTCGGCGTCCAGTTGGGACGACGAACTGCTTTTACGGAATACCAACTGTTACGTTCAACTTTGGGCACGCTTTCCACATCCACACCTCCCCCACACCTACCCTCACCTCCCAGACACACCAAACAGCGTGGAGCATCAGAGAAGCCCCTGCCACCCCCTTCATTCACCCCCCCCCCCCCCCCCCATCCATTCTGGCATCTGGGTGAGGGAGAGAAACAACGAGTCCTTTGATTGATTGATCCATGCCCCAGCCTCTCCGACACGCGACAGCCTGCCTCACCAACCCGCGCTGCCTCCTGCAACCACAGTCCTTCCTGTGGCATGGCAGGCCACTCTCAAGGCTATACAAGCATCAATCAGATCACCCACTTGGGGAGGGTTGACATCGTGATTTCGGAAAATTTCTTTTTCTGCTGTGAAAATTCCGCGCGAAGAGAGGGAAAAACCCGACAGGAGGGCCCAGACCTACCCTACCTACCGTCATGCTGTCCGCCCCAAGCAAAAAAAGAATACACCTGTAATGGGCACGCTTTCGACAAATCGTCAGCACGTCTCGCTCGCCGTGAAGAAGAAAGACGCGATGCTGATGTGGAAAGCGTGCCCAAAGTTGAACGTAACAGTTGGTATTCCGTAAAAGCAGTTCGTCGTCCCAACTGGACGCCGAAGACCCGAATCGCCCGCCGCTGAGAGCCCGCCAGCCCGAAGTTTCTGTCGGGCCCACCATGCTGGCAGATTCGAACCACTCCGACACGGCCGCCGTGCTGCTCGGCCTCAGCAGCGGCACGGCGCAGTCCCCCTCCCGCGCCGCCGGGCCCTCGGCCGCTCAAATATCGCCGCGAGAGGCCAAGGCCTCCGCGTCTGGCAGCGCCGTGCAGTCCTACGCTCTCCTCGCGGCGGCGAAAAGGCAGACGCAGGCGGCAGCGCTGCCGCGCAAGGAGTGGTCGCCGCACGAGGACGAGCTGATCCGCCGCGGCGTGGAGCAGCTTGGCTGCCGATGGCGCGTCATCGCCGCCCAGCTGCCTGGAAGGTCGGACGACGCCGTCCGCAACCGCTGGAGCAGGCTGCAAGACACAGCCAAGAGCAGGACGGGCGGGCGGGACGGGGGCGTCAAACGGAGCTGCGGTGCCAGCGCATCCGACGCCGGTGGTACAGAGGCCGACGCCACGGGCGCCGCCGCAACAAGTGCATCCGGCAGTGGGGGCAGTGGGGGCAGCAGCGCCGGTCCTGCTTCCGCCGACGGACCGACAAACGGTGGCGGAGGAGGCGGCACCGGCGGGGGTGGGCTGGCTCGGACCGCGGAGACGGCGGCCCTGAGCGTGCTGGTGGGGCGGCGAGGCAGCGGGGACGGCAGCGCGGCGCGGATCAAGTCCCCAGCGAGCAGTGGAGGCGGCGGCGGCGGAGGGAGCGGCAGCGGTTTCCGCAAGGAGAGGTCCTCTTGGACTCGGGCAGAGGACGACGTGATCGTGCAGGGGGTGTCGGAGCTGGGACACAAGTGGTTCGAGATCGCGCGGCGGCTGCCCGGCCGGACGGACCACGCGATTCGCAACCGCTGGTCGAGGCTGCAGGTGCCAACACTGCCTCCGGCGCATGCCTCCAGCGCACCCTCGCCCGCCTCCCATCCTCACCGCCTCCCATCACTGCCTCCATCCTCGCCTCCGCCTTCGCCGCCTCCACCCTCACCGCCGCCACCCTCGCCGCCGCCACCCTCACCGCCTCCACCCTCGCCGCCCTCCTCCCTCGCAACCTCCCTCTCCCCCACCCTCGCCTCAGTCCATCCTGCTGCAGCAAGAGGCACAACACGGCTACGGCTCCGCCGCACCGCAGCCCTCCCCTCACGGGCTGGGGCACGGCGCGGTCTTCATGGTGCCGAGCGGGATGGCGGCGCCCGGCGCGGCGCCTGGCATGGCGCCCGGCATCGCGCCCGGCATCGCCCCCGCCGGTTGCATGCCCGCCAGCCACACCGCCCCGTATGTCCTCTCGGGCGCGCCGCAGCCGCAGCCTTTTGCGCCACAGCCTCCCCCGCCGCTGACCACGGAGCAGCCGCACGCACCCGCCGCCGACGCCGGACCGCGTGGCCAGCCTGACCACGGCGCCGCCGCCGCTGCCCGGACCGTCGACGCGAAGCCATCTTGCGTCTTTGCCGCCGCCGCCGCCGCCGCGCAGCAGCAGCAGCTGCAGCAGCAGCAGCAGCAGCGGCAGCAGCAGCAGCAAGTATTCGGCAGCGGAGGGAGGCGGAGGGAGGAGGCGGAGCTGCCGCCAGACGCGTCTCCGCCGCCGACGATGGAGTACTCCTCCACCGAGCACTCCCCCCCCCGCTCCCACGCCCTCGATGACTCCGCGCTGTTGCTCGGCGTCTCCGGAGGCGCGGCGCCATCTCCCCGACCCGACACACACACACACGCACACACACACACACGCACACACACACACACATGCGTGGGAGGGGTGCCTCTGAACCCCCTTCCTGCCCCGACCCCTCCGCAGGCATCCGCCGCGCGGGCCCGCCCCCCTCCTCCCCTGCGACGGGGTCGGGGGAGGAGCTGTCGCCGCCGCCGAGCGCTGCGTCGCCGACAGGTCCGCCACCCTCGCAAAAGATCGGCTTCCGCGCGCCCGCCACCTCGCCGCGCGCGGAGGAGGCTGCGCAGAGCGGGCTGCCCGAGGGGAGTGCCGAGTTGCTGCTGCTGTGCAAGCGGGCGCGCGTCGGTGACGCGTCGGCAAAGATAGCCGAGTGAAGCGGCGGAGGCGCCGCTCGAGGGTTTGGGGGAAGTGGAGGGGAGTGGACAGGGTGGGGGAGGGGGGGAGCTGCCGCCGTGCGAGCCTCCGTCGAGAGCGGCGGCGGCACGGCGGCGGGTGGGGCGCCAGTGGCGGGCCGGAGGGCGGAGAGGCCGAGCTGGCAGCGCCTTGGTGGCACGTTCGTTGGTGCGGGGGCTAAATGTACCTTGTGCAGGCGCGGCGTGGCGGGAGGGTCCGTCGCGTGGGGTGGGGACGTCTGGAATTTGTCTCTGCGAGGATCTGGTTGGCTAGGTGAGCGTCTTGAGGGTGGGGGAGTGGAGCGACGGTCCAGCGGGGTGCGTCCGCTGTGTCCATGACTGGTCTCTCTCTCGTTGCATTCTCTCTCTCTGTCCGTGTGTGTGTGGTGGGTGCTCGTTCGCGCGAACACCTGTGCGATCTCCGACCTGTGCATGCCTCTCCTCATCAGCAACGAGCATTTGTTATGCACTGTGTTAATACACCACACCCGCGGCACACAGTCACAAGAGAGAACTGTGTGGAATACGGTTATGGAGCTGAGACCCCCATTACAGCCGGAAAAAGAGTGAGTGCAACTGCAAGAGCTGCAACGATGAACGATATCGATAAACGATCAACGAACCCGAGTCGCGAGTGCGTTACGCCTCGCGCGTCGCGCGGCCCTCGGCCCCTCGCACCGCCACTCCGCCACTTTAAGAGCACTTTTTCACCTTTTCAGCCGACGCAGAGGCTATCCCATATATATCTAGTGCTCCACGCACCGTCGGGTGCGTGGGCGGTACGCCCCGCCGCGCAATTCGTTCCTGCCCCTCTTTCCCTTCACACCGGCGGGCCGCCCCCGTCGCCGCTGCCTCCCCCAGATACTTGCGTCTTTAGCTGCTCGTTCGCCTGCTCGAGCTGTATGTTCTGCGACTCTAGCGACTGCAGACGCGCAAAGAGGGCGCTCATCTTGCTCTCGATCGCGCCGTCAATCTCGTCGCGCATCCGCAGTGACTTGTCCATCTCGGCAAGCCGGCTCTCGAGGATCCGCCGCTCCACGTGCCAATCACACGACTGCTTCTCGCGGAGATAGAGCTCCTCGTTGAGCCGCTGCGACTCTCGACGGTGCAACTCCGCCTCCTCCTGCAGCGCCGCGTCCAGCTTCCCCAGCAGCTCGCTCTGCTCCCGTTGCTGCTGCTGCACCGTCGTCCGCTTGAGCGAGCCGACGCGAGAGCGGAGGAGGGAGCGGTAGTCGGACCTCATGCGCATGTAGCGGTCGCGGTACTCGCCGCTGTCCGTCGCGGAGGCGGTTGCTGCCGCCGGTCGCCCCTGCTGCTGCTGCGCCTCTGCGGAGCGGAGCTGCTCGCTCAGCTGGGCGGTGTAGTCTCGCATCTGCTGCAGGTCCGCCTCCTTCTGCTGCAGCAAGAAGAGGGCCTGCTCGTCGGCCCCGGCGAGCAGCTGCGCGCCGGTGTCCTCTTCGCCTGGCACCGCGGCCGCGGTCTGAGGCCGAGCGGCCGACTCCTTTGCACTCTCCTCCAGCTGCGAGTTGCGGCGGTGCAGCTTCCTCATCACAGCCTCGGCGGCGCTCAGCCGCACGCGCAGCTTGTCGGCGCTCTCCTCCTCCTCGTCCGCCGCTCTTGACACTGCTGTGCCCGGCGCGAGGCCCGCTGCCCCGGGCGAGCCGCCGATGGCACCTGCCGCCGTCTGCGGCCGAGCGTACCGCGCCTCGTCGAGCGGGTCCTTTGCGAGCCTCTGCAGCGAGGCGAGCTCGGACAGGGCAGAGGCGATCCCGTCGGGCACCGCCGCTGCGGAGGCTGCCGAAGCGCCGGCGGAGGAGGCTGGCCTCCAAGCGATCGGGATCGGCGGCGAGCGCTGCTGGCGCGACGATGGGCGCTGCTGGCGCTTTGCCCTCTCTGTCGCCATCTCCGCGTGCGGCAGCGCCGCAGTGGCGCAGTTTGGGCCAGGAAGGTTCTCATCTAGGCCGGGCGGAGGAGCGTCCCTATCGACGGTGAGGATCTGTGCGTTGTGCTCCGACCCGTCCGCGACACGCTGCGGGAAGTTCGTCGGAAAGCGCGCGCGTGGATGGGCGGTGAGCCCTCCAGCTCGATGCGGCGGCTTGCGCTTTGGTCCCTTGTGGGGCTGCAGCTGTTGGGAGAGCTTTGGGCCAGTGTTACTGGCGTGCGAGTGTCGAGGCTTTGCCGCCACCGAGCGGCGTCCACCGTAGGCAGCCACCGCCATCTCCCGCTGTGCCGCATGCGGGTGCCGCCCTCCCCCCGAACCTCCCAGTGTCCGAGCCCGCGCCGCGTCACGGCTCATCGAGGTCGGGTCAGGCGCGGACCTCACCAGACCAGCCGAGCTGCGAGCCGGCCTTCTTCTGGGAGCGGGCTCGAAATAGGAGGGCCTGCTCGCCGTGGAGAAGGGCGGACCACGGTCGAGGGGGAGCGGCGTGGGCTTCGGGAGGAAGATCATCCCGTCGTCGCGCGCCGCGCCTGCTGAAGTGAGGCCTGAGGGGGCAAGCCAAAGGGCGAAACGGCAAGTCGATCATAGTTCATGTTTGCAGGCGTGAAGCGAGTATGAGCTTCTTGTGAGTGTGTGTGTGTGTGTACTCACTCACACACACGAGCTTCTTGTTCATGCCCCGCCGCAGGTTGCGACGGCCGCAGGTAGGTTCGTGCCTCAGTAAAAGAAAATAAAACACTCAACCTAAAGGAGGGATGGGAGGACGGCACGCCGCCACCAGAAAGAAAGAAAGAAAACAAACGGTGTCACTAAAGTTTTTTCTTTGACCGCGCAAGATAAAAGGGTGGCTAAGGGCTCTGCCCGCAAGGCGCCCGCGTCGGCAGACGCGGTACCATTGACAAATCTCAAATCTGCGATATACCCCCACACGAGCAAATAGCCAAAATCCGAATACCGTGCACGAATCCGGCGATCTGCGCCGTGGACGGGGGCAAGCCTTCAGCTGGTGCCAAGACATTCGTAAAATTGAAGCATCGAACGTCCGCCAAATCCGTGCTACTCGAGTAGGGAAAGCTGATCGAGCCCAGCGTGCCCGCGGCCGCCTCCCGCGCAACACCGCCGCTGGGGACGACACGCTGCGGAATCGGATCGAGCCCATGCACGGGCAAAGAAGGACGCTGCAGAAGCGGTTGGAGAGGCAGCCGGCGTCTGCCGTCACAACGAGTCCCAGCGCTGGTTGGACATGCGCGTCGGCTCGCCCGAGGACTGCTGTCGCGACCCTCCCGTCGTGACGCAGCCTCCGACGCTCTGCAACCGAGGAGAGTGAGGGTGCGCCTCCCCTCACTGCTGGCCTGGCTGCGCACCGCCCCACTAAGCACCCCCTCGAGCATCTCTACAAGCACAAGTACAAGGGCGACCTTCTCCAAGTCGTCAACACGCCCGGCGGCTCCGACAAGACTTTAGCCTTGGCCACCCTCCTTGCGGAGCAGGAGGAGATCCGCTCTCGCCGTCGGCAACGTGGCAGCTAGTCGAGAGACTCGGTAGTTGTGACCCCCCTGAGTGAGGACAGGAGAGAGAGAGCGTTTTGTGGTGTTGGGGGTGTACGCAATAACGGGACAGGGTAGTCGTTCTCTCTAGCTCCCCTTCTAGCTCTTAGCATGAGCTGCGCCCTGTGTCCGACCCTTTTTGCGCAGCAACACCTTAAACTTTTAGGCCCTCCAAATTCGGGTCGGAGCGTAGCGGAGTGGGCCCCGAGTTTGAAAAGGGCGACGGACGCTTGCGTCCTAGCCTCCAACAACGCCTCCCCGGCGCAGAGGGGCCCCCGGAGGGATGCTCAACCGCTCCACGCCACGCCGCTTGCGGCGGTCCTATTCCCAGCTCCGCTGCGAGGGCGCGTTATTTCGTCTTCGAAGAGCCCCCCATGCTTACCACCTTTGTCGCAGCCTGCGGCGCCCTCTCGCCGACCGTTCACTCCAGTGCCAGGGCTGGCAGCACGATCCTCCGCGTGCGCCACGCACGAGTCCAAGCTGGCGAGGACTACGCGTCGCAGCAAGAGGAGATCAACGCGCTCAGATCACAGCTGAGAGCGGCAGAGGCGACCATCGCCAGATTGAGCGGTCCAGAGGCAGCACGTGACGACTTCAAGGACTCGAGATTCCCACTCTTCCGCCGAGTCCAGACCGCGCTGTCCAGGTCCCCGTCGGACGGCCACCTCGCCTATCTCGCCAACGAGCAGGCAGGACCGCCGCCCACCGAGGGCGCGCCCGACCTGGAGCAGCTCTTTCGCAAGTACGACGTCGACGCCTCTGGTCTGCTCGACCTCGACGAGTTCAAGATCTTTGTACAGGAGAACCTCTCCGTCGAGCGACTCGGCACGATGGCGCAGGATACCGCCAAATCGGCTGGAGATGTGGCGGCGGACGTGGCGAAGTCGGCGGGCGACCTGGCGGCGGACGTGCTTGGGCGCGTCAACGACCTGATGCCTCCCGCCGCGGCGGCGGTCCCGGTCACCCTCGTCGGCGGCGTCGGTAGCGGATACAAGGAGATGCAGCCAGCGTCGGCAAAGGCGCCGTCGCCGCCGCCACCCTCACCGCCCTCACTGCTTCCGCCCTCGCCTCCGCCCCCGAGCCCGCCTCCCCGCCGCCGCCATCGTTGCCTCCGCCCTCACCCACGCCGCCCTCGGTGTGCGTTGTCTGGGCTGCGCCTCCGTGACATCTCCGTGACACCTCCGTGCCCCGCACCGCAGGAGGTGCCGGTCGACGGACTCTGCGCGGCGGTCGAGCGGCAGGCGTCCCTCTCGATGCACCTCGGCGCGTTCATGCAGCTGATCGTCAAGCTAGACGACGCCAACATGCGGACGGTGCGCGTACACTTCACCGCCTCAACCCGCACCTCCGCCCCCCTCCCCGCCGCGTCGCACCTCCTCTTCTGCCGGCGCCGCCGCCGCTCCCCTGACTCGGTGACGCGAATCTGCGGGCGGCGCGCGCGAGGCTCGCAGACAGCGGAGGAGCAGTCGAGGACCCCCACCCGCGTTGCCATCCGTCCCCGCCACCCCACGCAGGTGCGCGACTCTTGGGAGCGGCACGGCCGGCCCGCCCCCCTTCTAGATGCCGGAACCAGTGCTGGAGCACGCACGCGTGTGTTCCGACGAGCACTCGAGAGGACGCGCACTCGAGATAAACGAGCACTCGGGGCGGCAGCTTGGGTGTTCGCGCGATGCGTTGAGTACACTGCACGGTACCGCGGGGCTCCCGCGGGGCTCCCGCCCTGACCCTAGTTTGCTGGTGGCACAGGCCGGCCACGCTGCGCGAGTTGCTCGCCGCCGAGGTAAGGACGAGATATGGGGGAGATATGGGGAGATATCGCCGCCGAGGTGATGAGGACGCGGGTTCAAACACGCAGCACAAAGACAGGGGCGGGGGACTGCAGCCACCCTCCACGGATTGCGACTGACGCCCACCCGGACAGCGCCCCCGCCCGGATCGGCAGCTTGCGGAAGGGGCGGTGCAGATCCATCTCTTCCCATCTCTCCCCATCTCTCCCCATCTCTCCCCATCTCTCGCAGGTTGCGGAGGGGGTGGTGCAGCCGGCGCGGCTCGCCGAGGGGTCGGCGGCTCTGTCGCTCCTCTGGTCGATGCGCATGAAGCGCTTTTGGACCCGCATGGCCGACGGCTTCGCCGATCAGGCGAGCTCGAGCCGCCCCTCTGCCCTCTGGCGCCTGGCCGGGACACGTCCGCCTCCGCAACGCGTCCACGACACGTCCACGACACGTCCGCGACACGTCCCGCAGGCGAGCACCGAGCCGACCTCCGCCTTTGGGCTGCGTGCATACGAGGCGCGCGAACCGAGATGGGGGAGGCGTGGGGGAGGCGTGGGGGAGATGTGGGGGAGATATGGGGGAGATGTGGGGGAGGTGTGGGGGAGGTGTGGGGGAGATATGGAGGAGGCATGGGGGAGATGTGGGGGAGATGTGGGGGAGATATGGGGGAGATGTGGCTCCAGCCGCCTCTCCCTCCCCTCCTTTCCTCTGCGCCTCCCCATAGGCCGAGGTGGAGCCCTACCATGGCTTCCTGCTGCGCAGAACCTTCCGCACCGCGCTGCGGGCGCTGCCCTCGCGCGCGGAGATGCTCGGCAACATGGCGATGGCTCCGCCGCCCGACAGCGCGGCCCGATGGCCGGCGTGGGAGGAGCTCCGTGAGACGTGGCGCACGGTTTTGACTCTGGCCTCTCCTTGGAGACCCTTCCTGAACTTTCCAGGCGTCTGTCGCGGCCGGCGCTTCCCTCACGCCCGACGAGCGGATGACGGCGTGCCACGCCGAGCTGCGCGAGTGCTCCGAGCACACCAAGCGCATCACCGACCTCGTCCAAGCCCAGCTCGACGAGCTCGGTTTGAGAGACGACCGAAGGCTGTGACAGTGTGAGGCGTTTGGCGACTCCGTGGGCTCCCCGCGGCCGTACCGGCTGGGTCGTGGTTCTCGGTGGAGACAGTGTGTTCTGTAGCTCCAGCGGCGTGCGCACGCGCGCTGCGCGGGCGACGGCGGACGGGCCGACGGCCGACGCTCAACGAGCGGTCCGACCCGGCACACCCGCGCCATCTCTAGTATCTCTAGATCTCACACCGTAAAGCCGTGGTACACGAATTTTTTCATGAAACTTGAAAGGATGGGGCTGCCTGGGTGGTCGACGTGTATGATACCGGTACAGATGCAAAACCATGTGCAAAACGGAAGTGCCGGCGCGGGCGCCGATGGAAAAGAATCAACGCAACGCAACGCCTACGGGCGCAGGGTATCGCGCGGCATGAGGTTGGAGAAGGGCGGGGTCGTGGGTGCACCAGCCAGTGCTGCGCTCAGCGTCAAGGATATTGTCAACAGCTTTTGTCGGAGCCATTTTTGTGTTTGACCATCACTGCGCATGTCGCATGTGCATGTGCATGTGGTGTGTGTGTGTGGGTGTGTGTGTGTGGGGGGGGGGGGGAGTCTATGCGTGATGGCATCGGTGGGGGCGGCATGGGCTCAGATGAGGCTCGTAGCATTGAGTGAGGCACTTCGTCACGTGCTGTCCGAGAAGCCGGCATCATCACAGCGGGAGGCGGGCCAGGGCCGAGGGTCTTGCTTTGGGAGAGTGATTTGCAGCCAAGCTGGCAACGAGGCCTGGCGCATTTCAGGCTCGCCGAGACTGTGGGAGTCTATGTCACACCACATCGCGCGATGGGGCTCATGAAAGCCCCGCGCGCATGCTGAGACTGGACTCCAATGTCGGGCTGGGGAGGGGACGAGGGGTGCGCTGATGTTGAGGCATGTGCGGGCGGTGCACGCGCTGCCTTGTTGGTCCTCGTGCAGGTAGGTCAGCCCACCACAGATGCGAGGACGTCTCCACGACACCTCCCGCGTGGACAAGTGCCCGTGTGATGTTGACACCAACGAAGTTGCACTGCAAACGAGACACGCGCCGAATCATAGAGGCGGAGAGATCAGCGCACCGGCTTGCTGAGAACGGACTTGTGGAGCCACCACGCTGTGTTAGCGGCCATGATGGCCAGTGCGAAATAGCCAAAGCGCCGCTCGAACGGTGACATCGAGCTGATCGAGAAGAGTGCGGGCTCTTTCGCGTCATGTCGGGACCCCTACAGTTGACGGCGGGCCGGGCTTGCCGTTCAGTCACGGGACTCATGAGGCAGCTCTTGAGCACTTGAGCACTGGACCTTTCAAAAAGAAAAACTGCGCCACACACACACACACACACACACACACACACACACACACACACACACACACACACACACACACACACACACACACACACACACACACACACACACACACACACACACACACACACATGCATGCATGCATGCATGCACAGACACACAGCCCCTTCCCTCCCCCCTCCATAGCGGGTGGGGAGGCCCTAAAACGGCGGGAGGGGTAGGGCTATATCGATAGAGCTAGAGGGCTCAGCCACCCCTCCACCCCTCCACCCTCCACCCCTCCACCCTCCCGGAGCGAGAGAGGTCCGTCTTCGAGCCCTCCCACTTCCACCCCTCCGACCGGAGGGCTCACCAGCCCACAGGGCTGGAGGGGTCCCCGTCGGATCGGCGTCGGGAGGGCTCCACAGGGCTAACCCCCTCCCCGGACGCCGGGTGGGCTCGGAGGGACGGTCGGACAGGGGAGGATCTTCATGGCGGGAGGGCTCGAGAGGGGTCGGAAGGGCCCTCCGGGAGGGGTCGCAAAAAGATAAAGAAAACGAAGTCGCGGCTTATGTGACTGCCCCCCAAGAGGGCTCGGAGGGCTCGGAGGGCTCGGGAGGGCTGGAGGGCTAGAGGGCTCCATTAGGGCTCGGAGGGGTCGATCCTCTGAGCCCTCCGACCCCTCCGACCCCTCCGACCCCTCCGACCCCTCCGACCCCTCCGACCCCTCCGACC